TCCGTTGTTACTATCCTTTTTGACCTGGAAAAGGCTTACGACACCACTTGGCGATATATTCTGACCCAACTTCATTCTTTTGGCCTTCATGGTAATCTCCCTCTCTTTCTCCAAAGCTTCCTCTCTCGTCGTTCCTTTCGAGTGAGTCTTGGTACCACTCTCTCTGTCTCTTTAAAGCAATACGAGGGTGTGTCCCAAGGTAGTGTTCTGAGCACTACTTTTTCTAGTTGCCCTCAATGATCTTCTTTCCTCTCTTCTGGCCTCTTCTCCAATCTCTATGTCGACAATCTTACCCTTTGCTGTCAGGGTGATGATTCGCCTCCCCTTCAACGGCGGCTTCAACTTGCGATTGATGCAGTGTCGTCTTGGGCCACCGATCATGGCTTCAGGTTCTCTACGTCTAAGACTTATGCTATGACTTTTACTCGGTAACGTGTCGTTCTTCGTCCTTCTTTGTCGCTTTATGGTCGCCTTCTTGTGTACAAGGATTCCGCTAAGCTTTTGGGGTTAATCTTTGACACTTGTTTGTCTTGGTCGCCATGTATCTCTTACCTCTAAGTTGAATGCTCTAAGGCCCTTACCCTCCTTCAGGTATTGTCCTATACTACTTGTGGAGCGGATAGGCGCACTCCTTGCTTTACATTCCTCCCTTGTCCTGCCTAAACAAGATTATGGTTGCCTTTTTTACTCGTCTGCTTCTCCTTCTAATCTTTGCCGTCTTGATGCTTTGCACCATACTGGGTTGTGCCTCAGCTCTGGTGCCTTTCGTTCGACTCCCGTCCTCAGCTTGTATGTTGACACTGGCTTCCTATTTTTCCAGGACCGTCGTGATCGCTACTGTCTTCACTATCTTGCGCGGTCCTTGCAACATCCTTCCTCTCGCCTCTGTTGTGCTTTAACTTTTACCCCTCTTGTGGTTCCTGTTCCTCTTCACCACCTCCCTCTTTCTGTCCGGTTCTCTCGCTTACAGGATTCTCTTTCAGTTCGTATTTCTAATATTTCTCCTCGTGTTGTTCCTTCCTTGCCCCCATGAAGAGTCTCCTTTCCGAAGTTTTGTACATCATTAACCCGAATCACTTAAGCTTTTACCCCCTCCTACGGTTCTGAAACCCCCTTTTCCTTGAACACTTTTCTTCGCACTCCCGCTTCATTTCCATCTTCACCGATGGGTCTAAGTCTGCGGACGGTGTAGGCTACTCTGTTGCTTTTCCTGACAGCACTTATATGTGTCACCTTCCTCCGGAGGCTAGCATCTTCACAGCAGGACTTTATGCTATTCTCTGTGCTCTTCGTCTCCTGCTTTCCCGGTGTCAATCCTCCTTCGTAGTGGTAGTTGACATTCATAGTGCCCTCATGGCTTTAGGTTCCTTTAATCCAGTGGCCTTCCTCCTGCCACTGTAACCGGCGGTGGGAAATGGCTCTGGCTAGGTTACGTATTGGCCATACCCGTTTAACTCGCAGCCACTTAATGGAGCGCCGCCCTGCTCCCTATTGTCCAAATTGCATTGTCCCTCTTACGGTCGTGCATATCCTTGTTGAATGTCCTGACTTCCAGGACGAGCGTGTGTCTTGTTTTCCGACCGTCCCATGCGGTCGCTTGTCCCTTGATAGAATTCTCGGTGACTCGGATATTTTTTATATCGTTCGCCTTATGCGTTTCTGTTCTCGTATTGGCATCCTTGGTGATATTTAGCGCCCTCTGATTATCCCACACATTTGATTGGTGCTACATAGCCTTCCCAGTTTGGTGCCTTCTATTGATAATTACTTACTCAAGGGGTTAGGAAGAAATAAAGCTGTTGGATCAGATGGAGATTCATCTTGGGTGCTGCAAGAATGTGCAGCTGAGCTGAGCATTCCACTACAATTGATATCCCAGACATCTTTGTCCACAGGAATCTTAACAGATATTTGGAATAAGGCAAACATAGTTTCAATCTGCAAAAATGGTACTGTACCAGAGAAGACCCCTCTAAATTATAGACTCGTATCATTAACAAGCGTGGTAGTCAAAACGCTAGAAAAAATACTGTAGTTAAAACCAAAAGGGTAGAATACCAGGAGACTAGTGACATAACAATGGACAGACAGTATGGTTTTCGAACAGGAAGAACCTGTGTAACAAATCTACTTAGTTTTTATGATAGAGCCACAGAGTTTATACAGAAAGAGATTGTTGGGTTGACCGTGTCTATCTGGACCTAAAAAAGGCTTTTGACAATCCCACACAAGAGGTTGTTTTGAAAACAAACATACTGTACTGAAGGGGTGACAGGGAGACTTCTGACATGGATGAAAAATTTTCTGACAAAGTTGAGGGCGGTAATCAGAGGCAATGTATTCGTCTGGAAGAGTGTTACTAGTGGGGTACCACAGGGTTCAGTTCTTGCACCAGTAATGTTCATCATCTCTATAAATGATCTACCAGAAGAAATACAAAATTACATGAACATGTTTGCAGATGATGCTTAGATACTGGGAATGATATGAGAAGTAGACGATTCTTATGAAATTGATCTAGATAAAATAAGTGATCTAGATAAAATTCCATGTGGTAAATGGAATTCAAAGTGAATAAATGCTATGTTATGGAATGTGGAATCGGAGAAAACAGACCACACATAATAATTAATAATAATAATTCATTATGTCGAGATGACAGGAGGCCTGAGTGTATTCATGTTTGTTAAGCTTATATCGGGGTCCCCCCCCCCCCCATGGTCAAATTACTGACTCCGCTCAGGATGCAATCCCACAACAAACTGACTTGACTCCTGAGTACCTACTTACTGCTAGGTGAACAGGAGGAGCATTAGGTGAAAGGAACTGTGTCCAACCATTTCTGTCCTGCCCGGGATTCGAACCCGGAATTCTCGATTATGCGTCGAAAACGAACCCGACTACTACTGGCACCCTAACTTACAAATTATGTGGAAAGGAATTAAAGAATTTTAAAGTGTACCTCTCGTCTTGTAACTGGTTTCGGGTAATTACATACACATACTTTTTTTAAAGTAAATAAATTTAGAAGCCTGGAGTGAGTTTTTTTTTATTAAATGGACAGCAACAATTTTCTTTAGACATTAATTCACCATTTTCATTCCTATAACAAATAATGGTGATGCCTCCAGTAACATACAAGACATCGCTGCTGTTGAAAAAAGCCATATGTACCTGTCTCATATCAGAGAAGCCAATTCATTAATCTGATTTCTACCCTGTTATTCATGACATTTTGATCATTGATGATGGTGGTGTGCTATTATGCATAACAAATTGCATACCGTCAAATGTGACCTGTCCTCATGGCTTTCTTTGCATCACCAAAAAGGAAGTGGGAAATGTGTCTGACTAGGTTGTGTATTGTGTATACAGGATTAACACATGGTCACTTAAAGGGACAAAGACCTGTATAGTACAGGATGATCAAAATTTAGTTTTCCCCTTTTCTTCTATGTTACACATGCCCAAGCACTTGAACTGGATGGTAGAGCAATGGTCTCACTTCTTGCAGGTTGGCGTTCAATCCCCGACCATCCAAGTGGTTGGGCACCATTCCTTTTCTTCATCCTATCCTAAATTCTTTTCCTCATATCCTTTCCAAGTACTGTACTATACAGTCATAATGGCTTAGTGCTTTTTCCTGATATGTCACCTTACCGTATATGTGACATGCCTGCTGATAAATCCATGGTGTATCTAATGCTTTTGACCATCTTATATTACTGACTTATATTACATCTTATATCAATTATAAGATTGATCATCTTATAGATTCCTGTAATACAAAATAAGTCCTGTAGTACAATGGTCTGTTTTTGTCTCAAAATTGAGGCCCATGGGATTGATCCTCGGACAGGACAGAAATGGTTGAGCATGTTTCCTTTCACCTGATGGCTCCGTTCACCTAACAGTAAATAGGTACACTGGAGCTAGGCAACTGTTGTGGATTGTATTCTACGAAAGGTCAGTAGTTTAACCTACAGTTACCTTGGTACAAGTCAAAGTACCTGTACATGCTTCCCGGCTCCAACAACTGGAATTGTTAGGAATTATTTTCAGATTTTTGTGCTGCAGGTCATTGTAATAGAACTCAACTAATATGTTTGAGTGTTAATACTGTACTGTATTGCTGTAATATACTGTATATGATTTATTTATCTTCTTTAAATTTGACTTGTAAATGTCACAAAGAAAAAAGTAAGATCATTCACTAGTTTCCTACTGCTTTACTTTCAAAATATGTTATACTGTACTGGGTATTCAGTATATACAGTATAACAAAAACCACAACATACTGTACCATATAGTATATGTTGCAGCAAAATTTCACTAAATACACATGATTCATTTTTCATTAAAATCATTAGAAAGTACGGGTAAAGCTAGTACAATAATGTACATCATTTAAATAATTCATTTTGTTGGGGCCAGGAAGCCTGAGTTTGTTTATATTTTAGGCTTGTATCGAGATATGCCCATGGTCGAACTACTGACCCTTCACAGGATGTAATCCCACAACAGTTGGCTAACTCCCAGGTACTTATTTAGTGCTAGGTAAACATAAGTATTATGTGAAAAGAAATGTGCCCAATCATTCCTGTCCTGCCCAGGAATTGAACTTGTGGTCCGTGATTGAAAGTTGAGACTGAAGCCACTGATACTATGAGACCCCTGTTAATGTGCTAATGTTATACAGTTTGTGGTGCAGCACTATTCATATGATCATATTTCTCTTTCAAATATTGTATTAAGAAATTGTTGATAAAATTTATTTCTCTGCTGGATTAATTTTTAGTTACTGTACTTAAAAGAAATGAGTTTTTCTTTTTGGATGTTATGGGCAGGTTATGTTGTATTTTGCAAAACATTAAATGTATTAAGATTTATGATGTCAGTAGTATCCATATACATTTACATATACTGTATTATACTAAGCATACATTATAGAAATATGTGATTTTTAAACATTTATTCTTTCCACCAATTTGCCTATGCAGAGGTGTTTCAAGAAATTAGTGTATGAGACCAAAGTGTAATATGATGGCCAAGGGACCATATAGTTAATGAGAAACAGTAAATGAGAAGACTAAAAAAAACTGTATGATTACAGTCGATTAGTCCCATAAAAGTCAAACTTTGTTACGAGTGGCCAGCGAAGACATATCACTATTGTGACAATGGCAGCTCAGACACAGACAGCTGGAGCAAATGATAGCCCTTCCAGGCACATTGTTACCAAAACTGTGAAAACCATTGTGCCTACAACTGAGGAGTGTGCATACACACAGTTTTACTGGTAAGCTAAGTTGGTTATAATTGTGGGAGTGATTTGCATGATAGGATGAGCTGGATTTATGCTGAAAATTGCACCATGATTTGCTTAGTAGGATGTAGTGAAATATATTTGGAATTTTAAACTGCTGTTATTTTTTATTTTGTTGTGTAATGGAGGAATGCTATACAGTATAGTGTTTTGTACAGTAAATGGTTGTAGCCACACTTTTGGCATCCAGTTAGTTTTTCTGTGTTGTGAAACATGTGATCCAGGTACAGTATTTAGGTTCCAAAATGGAAATGTAAAATGAACTGTTTTGACTTCAAAACAGTTCAACATATAGGTAAATTCACAACAGACAGATCTTTTGTGACAAGTTGACATTGTGTGTGTAAAGAAATGTATAGCAGACAAATGCAAAACATAACCCAGTCTTATAAATACATGTATACATGAAAAATAAATACAAGTAAAAGACATACAGATATTAAAAATTGGAGACAGATTCACAGACTGAGAAGTAATTGGATGAATACTAAGCAAACGGTTCCAAAGAAAAAAAAAGTGATCATGTGGCAAAAGGAAGTTTTCACAATACGGTACAGAGTAAAGTACCGAGAACACGTAGAGATGAAATAGAAATTACTTGAAAAGCCAGATAGAAACAGCTGTTGGGCCAGATGGAGTCTCACCTTGGGTTATAAAGGAATTTGCACCCACACTTAGCACTCTACTACATGTTACTTTTCAAACATTCGTATGAACAGGAAACCTATGGACATCTGGAAAAAGATAAACTTAGCTCCATTCTATAAAAATTGGAACAGGAAGGACCCTCTAAATTATACATCTGTATTGTAGACAAGCATGGTAGTCAGATGACACAAAGGCAGGTAGGTAGGTAGGCAGATGACACAAAAATCCGCATGAAAATTACCTCTGCTGATGACATTGAAAAATTACAAGCAGATATCAACAAAGTGTTCGATTGGGCAGCAGAAAATAACATGATGTTTAACAGTGATAAATTCCAGGTACTCAGGTACGGCAAAAATGAGGATCGGAAACGTAATACTGTACAGGGTACAAAACATAATCGAATCTGCCCATAGTAGGAAAACAGCATGTCAAGGATTTGGGAATAATGATGTCCGACGATCTAACGTTTAGGGAGCATAACCAAGCAAATATTGCGTCAGTCAGAAAAATGATAAGATGGATTACAAGAACTTTCAACTCCAGGGATCCCATCACACTGGTTGGACTCCTCAAGTCACTTGTGTTGTCCCGTCTCGAGTACAGTACTGCTCAGTACTCACTTCCCCCTTCAGAGCAGGTGAGATTGCTGAAATAGAGGGAATACAGAGAACATATACGGCATGCATAGATGCGATAAAGCACCTAAATTATTGGGATCGTCTCAAAGCTCTCCAAATGTACTCACTACAATGGAGACAAGAGATATACCAAATAATACACACATGGAAAATACTGGAGGGCCAGGTTCCTAATCTACACAGTAAAATAACAATGTACTGGAGTGAGCGATATGGAAGAAAATGCAGAATAGAACCAGTCAAGAGCAGAGGTGCCACAGGCACAATCAGAGAACACTGTATAAACATCAGCGGTCCGCGATTGTGCAATGTCCTACCAGCGACTATAAGAAATATTGCCCAAGCAACAGCCTGGTGGACCAAACTCTCACAAGTCAAACCTGGCCTTGGGCCGGGCTTGGGGAGTAGAACAACTCTCAAAACCCCATCAAGCAGGTAGGTATCAGGTATAAGTCAAATTACTAGAAGTAATAATTAAGACCAAATAGGTTTTTTAAGGGAAGGCCTGTTTGAATGGGAAGATATTTTGTAACAAATCTACTTAGCTTTTGTGGGGGGGGATCCTATGATGGTTCCTCACTGCTTGCTGCCTTTCAAACTTCACCCAATCCAATTCACGCCAGGCCCCTGGAAGTCAGTTATAAACCTACTGGAAACCGAAGGCCAAAATCTGGCCCCACCTAAAGAGGCACAAGGTGCAGGGATGGAAGATCACCTCTAAAAGGGCACCAGAATTTTTGTTGAAACAAAACTGGTGATAGCACAGTTAACAAAACATAGAAAATGGGACAGCAATGCCCAGAGATTACATAACTTCCAGGACCCACTCCAGGGAATATGCCTTGAGTGGATTCTGGACATAGTTCTACTCTTCAAGTACAGCTTGAGGCCAGGCTTCTGATGATAAATCCCCAATACCTCAGGAACCTTGTACTGTACACCTGTTGAGAGGTGAGACCAAAGAGACAAAGCTCAACCTGCAGAAACCACTGAAAGCAGAGTTACAGTGGTAACTCTGTTTTCAAATTTAATCCATTCCAAGAGATGGTTCAAAAACCGAAACAAATTTTTCTATAAGAAATAATGTAAATTGAATTAATCCGTTCCACCCCCAAAAATATAAACTTAAAAATACATTTTACACATACTACTACTTATATTTTGTACTTCAATATGTACAAGTATATCTTACCTTTATTGAGGACTTTAGTTGGCATATGGAAGGCAGTGAGGAAGAGGGAAGGAGGAGAGGTATTAGTGTTTGGAAGGGGAGTCCCCTTACATTATAACAGTAGTGATAACATCTCTGAGGTACACACTCTCTCTCTCGTGTTTGGCAGGCATACAACTACGACCTGGTTGTGGCTCACTGCTTGCTTGTCTTACTATGAACCTGTCTATAGACACTTGTTTTTCCCTACGTTTTAACACTTGTCTGTGGTGAGACATCACATTGTCTCACTATGAATGATCTCTTGTTTTTCTTCTATCGTCATCCACACAACTATTTTCTTAGGTTGAACTTTATCACTGACTTTCTTAGAACCCATGGCATGATATATAATAAGAACTTTTATGTTTAGAAACCAAAAAAAGCACAAAAACAATGAAATTCTCAAAGAATCAGAGCGTGGTCATCATTAGGCGACACTGGTAAACTAAAACGCGCCACACGCTCAGTCAGCCCATTCGTGTATCAACAAACTCAAGCACCGAGGTAAACCTCGAATACCGGGTCAAATTTTTCGAAGAAATTGAGCTCTAGAATAAAAAAAAACGAAAATGGGCATTTGAAAACCAGGGTTCCACTGTACAGTGTTCTCTGATTGTTCCTATGGAATCTCTACTTCAACAGTTCTATTCCACATTTCCTACCATACCTTTTGCTATGCTAGTAGTATGTTGTTATTTTACTGTAAAAATTTGAGACCTGGCCTTCCAGTATCTATCCAGTATCTTGCATGGTGGTAGACCTGAACAACCAGTCTTAAATTCAAGAGGTGAATTCAGCAAATTCAACTTTAATAACAAATAGATCAATTGGGAACAAATAAACCAAGATCTTGTAGAAACATGCTGAGGAAGACAGATAATGCCAACTTAAAGCAGTGCTTTGAGAAAATTGGGAGAGTATCACTAAAAATATGTGCAAGTTACATGCCACTAAGGAGAAAAAAAAATGCAAACACTAATGGGAACAGCGTTCCCTTTAGGCAAGGAAAACAAATTGCAGTATATCTCAAACTCTCCACTCTATCCCAAAAATGACAAAGAAAAATAAAATATTTTTCTATGTGGAGAAATAGAAATGATTACGCTAAAATTGCAAGAATCATGTAAAATCCAGGAGAGGCAGAGAGAGCCAAAGGCCATAAGTGAAATAGAGTACTTTTTCTAATATGTAAAATCTAGAATAAAAATTGTTTTTCATTGGGCTCTTGCCCACCATAGTGATGGAACTTTTACTGGTGACAATAAACAAATGAGTGAAATAATGAAGCAAATGAAGCAAAGTATGATTCGGTTTTCAGGGAACTACTGAACAAACACATTTAAGACCAGTGATCCAAATGAATTATTTATGAATGTGACACCACCATCAAACGACATATCAAATGTCACCCCTAATCCCATTGGACTTTGAAGTAGCCATAGACAGCATGCCCATGTATTGTGCACCAGGCCAATTCACTTTGACTTTCATATTCATAAAAAATAAAACCTATTGCAGGCCCTAAACCTCTTTTGAAGATGGTGTCTAGATACTGGTGTTATCCCCAAGTTACTTAACGCTTTCGATACCCAATCACGCGTATTTCGTCACAAAACCAAAATAGGCTGAGTGCCTGATGACATCATTAATTTTAAAATTTTAAAAGATTCCATTTATTGTCCGAATACTATGGGATTTATTTTAAAATGCGCATCAATGTCTTCCTATTCTTTGTATAACCCACGTGGCGTCCCAACCCTGCCGTGTGGGCGCCACTCATGCTGGAGGCTCACTGTTCTCATGACAGCCGTGCCCTTCTCTTGAGTCAAAAAGTTTCCCCATTCTGATTATTTTATCTCGGATATTTATTGTTACTGGCTTTGTAAACACTGCAAACTGACTTCCAGATGGATACTGATCAAGAACACTGCCAATCCATGATGAAAGCATTGAAAGAAACACGTACGAGGGAAAAGTTATTGTGTGTCGAAAGTATAGTAAAGTGAGACATGTATGTTCTTATATGCAAATATTCCTTTACAGCATTCTGTTGCAAATGACGTAGCACACAAATTGAGGTGAGAAAGCTGAACGGAGTACTGTTATAAACATTTGTGTGTGGTGGTGGTGAGCTCTCGGGCAATGAATGGCCTACCTTGAGGTGTGCGGCGGGTCTAAAGTATAGGAAAGTGAGACTTGTATGTTCTTATATGCAAATATTCCTTTAGAGCATTCTTTTGTGAACAAATTGATAATAAATTGAACAATGTAGCATGAAAATTGAGGTCAGAAAGCTGAAAAAGAGTCCTGTATAAACATTTATGTGTAATGGCGAGTTCATGCGCAACGCTCAGCTGACCTTGAGGTGCTCGGCAGGTTGCCCGCCATGCCAGCGATAGTGTTAAGAGATCGCACCACTTTACAAAGGAAGTAGTAAAGCAGATACAAAAAAGTATAGACCAATATCTCTAACATTACCCATCATATAAATCTTTGAAAGAGTGCAAAAAAAAAAAAAAAAAAAAAATACTTGGAATCAGTGTCTACATAGCTCTGGGCAACATGGGTTCATGAGGGGGCATTTCTGCCTCCAACAATTGCTAGACCACTCTGCCTTAGCCTTAGATGCCATGAAAGACAAGCAAAATGCTGATATAATATACAGTACACAGTTTTTGCTAAAGCTTTTGACATGTTACCATGGTGCTATTGCACACAAAATGTGCACAATGGAAATTATTGGCAAAATAGGGAGATGGATCTTTAACTTCCTAATGAACAGAAACCATAGTTTAATAGTCAACAAAGTAAAATCTTGATCATCCACAGTGAAAAGCTCAGCCCCACAAGATACTGTGCTTGCTCTGGTACCGTTTCTCATCCTTATAACAGACATAGACTAGGATACAAACTGTAGTACTGTATCATCATTTGCAGATGACACAAGAATTTTCACGAGAGTAGAGAATATAGAGGGCACAGTAAATGGGGCCTGACGGCTGAGTGGATAGTGCTTAGGGTTCGTAGTCCTAAGAGTGGGTTTGATCCCCGACGAAGGCGGAAACAAATGGGCAGAGTTTCTTTCACCCTGATGCACCTGTTTACCTAGCTGTAAATAGGTACCTGGGAGTTAGACAGCTACTACGAGCTGCTTCCTGGGGATGTGTATAACAGGAGCATGACAGGATGTGCAAGATATCCCTGTTGAAAAGCAGAGGTGCGACTGGCATGCTGAGAGAGAATTCAATCAACATCAAAGGCCCAAGATTTTTCAACACTGCCTCTACACAAATGGGGCATAACTGGCTGACCTCTTGCAGTATTCAAAAGAGTACTTGACAAACCTCTTCAAAGGATACCTGATCAACCAGGCTTTGGATCATACATCAGGCTGCAAGCAGCTTTTTCAAATAGCCTGGATGACCAGACCACCAACCAGAAGGCCTGGTCAGAGACTAGGCTGCTGGGAAGTTGATCTTTGTATCATCAACAGGTAGGACGGGTACAGGTCTCGCTTATGGATTTCGTCGTAGTGATAGAAAGAGGTTTCTTGGCACTCCTTCCGCCTTTTTCTCTTTGCTGCCTGTCCTTGGTTTCTCTACCTGTGTTCTATAGTTTTCACCTCTGACCTGCTCATGCTTCTGAGCTGTCCTGGTCTATGGACAAGGTTTTGTGTTTTCTCTCCTTGGTTTCCTGTTGCCACTATGGTCCAGGATTGTTTTTATTAGCCCTTCCTTCCAGTTGTTGAATTGGGGAGTTTCATGCTCTCCACCAGAAGCAGAGGTTTTGCTCTTTTGAGATTTTTGGGTAATTTTCTTTATTTACAGCCCTCTTCTTACTTTCTGTCCAAGAATGAGGCATCAAGCTTCCGGAGAGTTCTTTGGCAATTGATGCTTGGTTGGTTCTGTCAGGGAGTGCATCATTTTGTCAAATTTTCAATTACTTTAATATATTTTCATTATCATTGCATTACATTGTGATTATGACAGCCCATCCTCCTGTTTAGGTAATATTTATAGTAACGATGGGGACCATCGTACATATATTGAAGTAAAAGGCACTTAGAAAGTAGAAATTGGTACTTTTGAATTTGGACAAACTGTAAAAGTTTTTGTGCTGATGTTGCAATGACAACTTACCTAACTTTACCTTCTTAGACCTAATACAAGCTATCTGAAGCCCAATATATCACATATGTGCTTTACTAGGCCTAGGAATCTTTAAGTTTGGATTTTAACTTTATCTTTTGGACTCTACAAAGTGTATACTAGTACCAAACTCTACTATCTAATTGTCCATTACATGTATGATGGTCTACATCATAGTTGCAAAAAGTAGTACTGTATCTAAACAGGAGGATGGGTTAGATTATGATGCAATAATGTAATAAATAACATTTATATGAGTTTCTGTATTATTGATTACATCATAAGAGCTTGATAATTCCAATTCCAGCAACCCAATTCTCCTTATAATTTAAATGAATTCATATTTGAAGTTTTTACCCATTTTCTGATTCGGATAAAAAGGTTATACCGAATGAAAAACTCGAATAAATTCAAAGTCTACTACAGTTTTACCATAGTCCGTGCTAGTAGCTGAATCTAAAACAACAACAATCGAATAAATTTGAGTTCGAGTGTTCGACTTCTCAACTCAATAATAATTTAGGTTTCTGTGGTACCTGTTAAGTGAAACACAAATTTGAGACCGAGTGCTTGATTTCTCGACTCAAATAGCAGTGCGGGTTACTGCAATTTCTGCTGAATGAGAAACCCTCCTCTTAGCTCCTTTTAGAGGATGCCAGATTTTGGCCTCTGGGTCCTCGGTAGTCTTGGATATGACTTGCACGGGCCTGGTGTAGATTGAATTGGGTGGAGCTTGCCAGGCAGCAAGAACCAAGAAGTCACCAAGGATCCACCAGGAAGAGGCATTTCATTACATTCAATGCTTATTTTATGATAATGCCACAAAGATCTTACAGGAAAGAGATGGCTGTTTTGAGGGCCTCTATCTGTATCTAAAAGGAAAAAAAAAGACTTGACAGAGGCTGGCAGACAGACTAATGACTTGAATGAACAAATTTCTAACTGAATGAAAAATAAAAAGCAGTGATTATAAACAATATAAGCAAAGAATGAAGAGCTATTACACTACTAGCAGAGTACTACAAGATTCATTACTAGCACCAGTAAGGTTTATTGTCCTTATAAACAAATTGCCAGAGGAAATACAGTTATATGAACATGTTTACTGATGATGTAAAGTTACTAAAGACTCTGATGGCTATCATGCCCTCCGAGATGAACTAAACAAAATGAGTGAATGACTAATGGAATTCTGTGGGACTTAATGTCACATTATAGAATGTGTAATAGAGAAAATAAGCCACTCACAACTTGCATATTACAGTATGTGGAATTTTTTTTAGAAAAAAAAAAAAAAAAATATGTAGGGGTGGTTCTGGATAGTAAACTGTGACCAGAGGACCAAATCCAGAACATTGTGAGGGAAGCCTATGCATGCTTGCAAACTTCAGAATTGCTTTGAAATTTTTGAAAATTTTTACAAACTTTGTAAATTTTCTAAAACATTTTTCTGACCAAAATTAGAGTATGCAATAATTTTATTGATTCCATATTTCAAGAAGCACTTCAGTAAACTAGAAAGGGTCCAAAGACATGCTACTAAATGGCTTCCAGACCTAAAAAAAACAATTATGAGGAGAGACTAGTGGCATTAAATATGATCAGACTATAAAATAGATGAAAAAAATCACATACAAAACAGTGACAGGAATTGTCACAGTTGACTGAAAATTTGTTAAAACCTGCAACTTAAAGCTCAAGAAGCCACAGATTAGGCTTAAAGAGTGGCTCTAAGCTCTAAGGAAACAAAAGAGCAGAAAAAATGCATGGAAATTCTCATAGGAACAGACTTGCAAACATTTTGAGTAAGTTAAGTGAGAAGGCGATGGATGCCTCAGTTTGAAACTTTCGTATGAGTAAGAATACTGGGATGATGAAACACCACAAATGTAGCTCTCATCCTACAACTACACTTAGGTAATTACACACATACTCTCCCACTGTATTTACATATGAATTCTGAGATTAGTACAAAGAATTTACCCAACTTTTTTCAATTATTTCTCAAAATACCTCATGTTTGTGCGTATCTTTAACAGTGAAGAAAATGTGTGGCGTCTTTGTGAGTATGTGCGTACTCATGAAGGACAGGAATTGGTCAAGTGCTTTGTGGTATTCATCAGTAACGAATCTCGATGCGTGCCACTATGGAGACAACGAATAGGCAAATCTGAGGATAAGCTTATAACTTGGGTAGGTTGGTTACTCTTTTCTTCTGATGAAATAATTAAGGAATAGTGTTATATGTGTAAAAATATCTATAAGTCAGTAAATTTTCTTAAATTTGGTGTAAACTATTTGTTTAGGTAATTAATTTGAAGAAAATAAAGTTGATGTGCAATATTGTGCTGATATTATGAGGGATGCTGCTTAAGACTGTTCACAATGGGGGTTAACATTTTCACTATGATGTTTTGTATTTTCTTTTTGTCAGTATGCCCAACAGTAAACCTTTTATCAATTTATTCCATAATATGGAGTCTGCATAAATTTACTATGTAAGCAAAAATTATAACTTAGCAGCGCATAGTAGACACAGCATTTGCATTGTAATTAATGGAAATTAAAGAATAAACTTATTGGAAATACAGTATATAAATAATTTACAATGATTGCTTTCTATATATTTTTAATTGTGAATATTTCAAGTCATTAAGTGCAAAATCAGGAACCACATACCAGTTAATTTTTAAACAGGATAAATCTAATGAAAACAAATGTTATTGCTTTTTTTTTACTATGGCATTATGGAAATCACTGCTTACTATAATTGAATAAAAATTATGCATGAATGATTCAGTACAGTTGTCCATGAATGCCTTTCAATTCACCCCACCATAATAACCTGCTTTGGTGGGAAAACTCAGTTATATAACTTAGGCAAGGTAACATCACCCTAGTGGAAAGGAAGATACTGTATTGAAGTAATTAGGAGTCACCATTTTTTACCCTTCAGCACCCTTTCGTAGTTTATGAAGTTTTTACCCTGTATCTCTATTTACGAATGTAAAACCCCACCACATTTTCTCATTATTTCTAGATTTCTTTGTAAAAACCTTTTCTACTGCATTGTTCCAGGATTATTCTAACATCTTCACATGTGTTGCGCCGAGTGAAAAGGTACACTCGCGTGCTGTGTGTGTGTTTGTGTGAGTGCTTGTCTTATTTTTTTTCTGCATGGCATGCTCTCTTGCCTGAACACTGCTTTTTGACTCAATAATTCCTTTACTGTAAAAATATTTTTCAAAATTTTAAGTGTGTGTTATTCTGTAAAAATTATTTAAAATATAAATTTCATGTATTTATTAAAGTCTTCAGTATTTCAAAAATTATAAGGTCAGATATATTATTTAACTGCCACAACTGTGTGCAGCATTTCCCAAATGCTTTTTTTATAATATATATCTGTTTGGCAGTACAATAATATTTTTTATATTAGTCATGATTTACACTATTATTCAAAGAAAATTTGTATATCATTCCATCAATTACTTTTTTCATGTCTTCAGGACAAGGTGTTGCTTATCTTTACGGCCTTTTAGCAGAAAAGCATTGCAATGCTTTATTGAACACTGAATAGTAACAGAATTTGCTGGAATATTCTGCATGCTTGAATTGCTCTTTGAAGTGAAACGTTTTCTTTACATTTTGCAGTAAAGATGAGAATGTATTAAAAGAATGAGACTATTGTATCATACTTTAATATGAATAGTATACCCTAAGTATAATATAAATAGATTAGTAAGAAAGAAAGATGCAAAAATGAAGTGGAAGCAGTCATTGATGGCAGTGAGGAAAAAATCTAGTGATATAGTATTAGGTCTTAACAGTGGATGAATGAAAAAGATAAGTCTTTTGTTTTGTTTTTTGAGACCAGCGGGAGGTTTATAAATATACCAGAGTTTAGCTAACAGGCAAAATCATCTGACCCCCCCATCCTCTCCCAGAAAAGTTGTTTATGCAATGATGGCATTTTCTGCACAGTATCTCAATAGCTGCCTGGAGCTTATGGCACTCATGGGGGTCACTCTTCCATTATCAGTTTTCTGAGGCTTTCTCAGCCAACCATGAACCAGGACTAGAACCTGGCTTCCTCAAAGAGACAAGGAAAGCATATGGAACGTAAAGTGAACAGCACAAAAAATCAAAGGCATAACAAATCAAACCACTTGCCTATTAGAAAAAATTAAATCAAGAAAATAAGGCAACGAATATTGACAATGGGTAAACAACCCTTGACACAACTCTGGCCACCACCAGATGGCAGCCCAGGTCACTCAGAATTCCAGTAGTCACCCACCTCACAAGCCATTACATTCAATCCCCAAACCAATGGGGAGGCAGACAATATGCAAGAATTATGATTTACTGAAGTCCCACTCAGTAAAAGCATACATTACACCATGCTATAGTTCATTAACTGCTATAGGATCCCTCATTAATTCCCTAGAGCTTACTTACAACAGCCCCTCTTAAAGGAGAAAGACTTTACTGAGAGAGAATAGGATAACTGTAAAAGCTAAAGGGCTGCCCCTTGTGAAAAGGAGGTGGAAGTTAGCGTTCGCTAAGGTGGACTTGGTGAAAGCAGCAGACTACAACACAGATACTGCACCCACCCGAATACCACACAATGAGGTAAAGAACCTCTCACAAACATGGGAACGAGTTATCTGGGCCAAATTGAGCAGTGGGTGGACATACTAGGCGCAAGAGAAGTCTTGTTGGCTCCCAAACCCCATCTAACAAATGGCATAACAGCGTACAGTCACAGAAAGGGAAAAAAATCACTTTGCATGACTCAAGTCCTCCCCTGACTAAAGATACAAGGAACTAACACCTGTGCAAGCAAACGGCTAGCTATTTACTCCCCCATTAAGAGCATTGCCAAACATGTCCCAAACACTACTTTAAGAAGCACATCAACAAACTGGAAAAGGTGCAAAGACATGCAACTAAATGACGCTCCCAGAACTGAAGGACAAGAGCTACGAGGATAGGTTAGAGGCATTAAATATGCCATAACTAGAAGATACAAGAAAAGAGGCAATAAGATCACTACATACAAAATACAGTAGTAACAGGAATCGATAAAATTGATAAAGAAAAATTCCTGAGACCTGGAACTTCAAGAACAAGAGGTCATAGATTTAAACTAAACAAACCTGCCAATGAAATATAAGAAAATTCACTTTTGTGAACAGTGATAGACGGTTGGAACAAGTTAGGTGAGAATATGGTGGAAGCCAAAACCGTCAGTAGTTTTAAAGTGTCATATGACAAAGACTGCTGGGAAAACGGGACACCACGAGCATAGTTCTCATCCTATAATTACACCTTCGTCTTCGACCAGAAGCAGCTCTTCTCTCAGTGGTGAAGGATGGAGGGTGTAGAGGCTTCAGAAAAGTGCAGGAAAGCTACTCGACATAACTTAAACATAAACATTCTCTCTTGGTCACGTAATGGCAAACAAAAAAGTGAATGTAAACATTTAAATAAATCAAAATCAAACTGACAATAAAATAAAAAATTGAAATTAATCAAAATAAAAGCTAGATATTACAAGACTAATCTTTGATCCCCCAGCACAGAAATATTGTTAGGTTTCCTCAAAGCACTTTATGATGATGGTGCTTAAAAACTCTTTATTTAGAGCTGTTCTTAGGAAGATCAATTAAACCTTCAATTACTGCCAATATTGTGCTGCTAACTTGTTAATTAAACCCATAAAATATGCAAATTTGTTCATAACAAATATAATGAATTTGTTCATAAATGTAATTAATTTGTTCATAACAAATATAATTAATTTGTTCATAACAAATATAGTTAATTTGTTCATATTCATAAGGTAAAATCTACATGTGTATTGTAATTAACTAAGGCGAATAAGTCCAAAGTACAATACAGATTAGTTAAAATGGTAAGCCTTGACAATCAATAACTTCATAAGTACTGTAAGAATAAATTTAGCTAAATTTATCTAACAACTACCATCTTTGGTTTGTCAGCAGGAAGCTGTAGTTTGTGAAGGGTACCCTATTTTGCTTGAGTTCGTCTGAATGTGCTAAAGTTGAACACTGGTCTTGCTTCAACAACTTCACCAGAGTACTCCCAGTTTATTGTTTTGGGAGAAAAAGTTTTTCCATGTTAGCAAGCTATTTGGTATCTTACATGTGTCATTATACTCCTTAAAAAGTAGTTGAGGCTTTAGTTATCAAACTTTTGCTCAATATCTTAAATATGTCTATGGTATCTATCTTGTTGTAGTGGCAAAATAACTTATTGGATTAAGATCTTAGACATACAGTACTGTGCAAGTATTGTAATTTATTTGAATATGAGGATTGTATAACGAAATGAAAAAAATGACAAAGAAAGTTTATGGTTTATCAGTTTAAAGCAAAAAAAAGTTAGACTGCATTTAAAATAAGAGTGAATTTGAAATAAATTTAAGGTACATTTAGGAATAACTGAAGAATTTATTGTGGAAATTATAATATACAACAAGGAACATTAAATGTATGAAAGTGGAGGAGGGACAGTGAATGATGAAGCAGCATATATGCAAAGGAATAGTTCTAGTAAATCCTAGCATTTTAAAAAGCTTTCTTTATGAGAAAGACTTTCCCCCTTAGTCTCTTCCCAAGCTGGGTCTAGAATCTAGCCAAGACACTGTACTTGTGCCAAGCTATTGTTGACCTGTGCCCTATGGTGACAAGTAACTTTTTAACTGATCTTGCCACCTAGTTGGGAAGGCCATAGTGTCCATGCAACTTATGAATATACAGTATATATATATTTTCTAGTGGATAGGTGTTGTGTGTATATATGTGTGTGTGTGTGTGTGTGTGTGTGTGCACATGCACTTGGGCACTAATAACCTAAGTCTAATTATCAAAGAGTTGTTAAAGGAGGAGAACTACACTCATGTTTCCCCATCTTTCCTATGATTTCTGTGATGTGGCATTTTGAAGCTTATGATGGTTTTGGCATCCACTACTCTCATTTAATTAATATAGTCCATCTGTTTTCAACCAACTGTCTTCAAAACAAAAAACCATTTGTGTGTATTTGTACATAATGTTTGAGTGTGTATGTGTGTGTGTGTGTGTGTGCGTGCTTTCCCACATGCATGGGTAGTACAGGATATTGGGTTTTATTACACAAACAAAAAATTTAATCTTTTATGCTAGTGTAGATGTGGCATCAGCTACTGGCTCTCTGTTGTGTATAATTATCGCTTATTTTCTCACTCTTGCTGTTGCACTCACAGCACGAATTATTTTTAACTTTCATGCCCATAAAAAACTGAAGGCAGCATTTTCTAACATTTATTATTTTAAGTGAAATAGGTATAGCACTTGAGATAATTGATAGTATGGTGTTAATATACATTAGTAATAATGCTTTAATTATAATTAATCACACTAAAGAGTATGGTATATATTTGCCTCATAATTATTTTGTCTTGTGTAAGAGTAAGGTCACAGATACAACTGAATATGCATTTAGTATCAGTATAGTTTTATATTTGAACTTGCATAACATTTCCATGAATCATAGTTGACAGGGCCATGCTTCTTTGAGTCCATTACCCCTGGGTGATGTTCCCTGCTGTAAATAAAGCTTGTAGAATACAACCTTTACCTGTTAACAGTAAAACAGTGAGTTACGTGCTCTTGTATTTTTGCAGGACTATCATGTGCTTTTCATGTATGAGCCTGATGAACGGTGCCTGGTGTTTGACCTCGATTCAGACCTCCCATTCCCCACATACTTCCACAAGTATGTTACAGAGACACTTCGCACAGATCACATCCTTCGGCCAGAACATCATAGGTATGTTCGAATCATTTTAATTATGTTTATTCAGCAAGGATTCCTTATGATTTTATCATACACTTTATTTTCCTGAGCTCTTGCACTGTTACTCCGTAAGGCAATATCCTACTGATCTCTGGTTAGGATCTGAAACACTTAGAGTAGGTCAACATTTAGCACCAGCTCAACAGGAAACTTTTCAAACTGTTCTTGTGAGGTCATACTGATACTAGGATGTCACTGGAGAATACTCAGTACAGCTTAGTATGTAGACATAAAAATACATTACATAAAGCTCATAAAAGCTTTGCAGGTGCAATTTTGCATGATGGAGACCTGCAAGCTGTGCTCGGGTTAAAGATCAAATAGCCTATTAGGTCACTGCTCCTGATTGCCACTAGCTAATGGCACATGTCATAAAATCTATTTCCTGGCCTTCTCACATTTTATCTTACTTCCACTTCAGGTTTTGTGGGTAGACAAATTAGAACTTTCGGCTAAGTGGCTCATTTTATCTTTAACTTTGTGCAGTTGGGTTAGGCTACATACTGCACAGTATTATAACTAATAAGGCCTCTGAGGTTGCTACTGGCAAAGCTACATATACATTTGTATAAGGTTTTGTTATAAGATTATTAGTACCTCAGTATGGGATATGCTATCTAAATTAGTAGAGCATCCGAATCTTACCCAGCCTTTTTTCTCATATTGTTATTCCATTTGTGGCGGAAGTGAAAAGTAAGCCCTCAAGGTACAGTACTCTTCTATTTTTTTTCCTAGTTTGGCTTTCTCTTGTAATTTTGTTTATTAATCTGTATTTCTTTTAATTAATATTGGACGAAGCAACCTTATTTTACAAAGACTGTGTGTGGTAACATGGATGATGTTTTGAAGTTTCCAGTAGCGCTGGCATCCACTACTCACTTAATTTAATACAGTACATCTGTCTACATTATTTTTTCTGTGGGGAGCCTCTACGGCTTCCTGGAGCTATCGGGCTAATATGTGGTACATTAGACTGGGGCATTAGTCTATGGAGTTCAGCCTACCTGGGACCACGAGTCAGAACCTGGCTCCCTCAGAGAGGTGCAGGGAGCCCTGGAAAAATCCTCTGTGGTTGGGGGTTCTCCTTGTCAGCCATCGACCGCAGGCACCCAAAAAGGTAGGCATAACAAAACAAACAAACCGCACATGGTAAGAAAATTACAACTAAAAATCAAAAAGAGAGGGAGAACTCCCTCCAGTCCCAAGGAAACAAGCAAACATCACACCCCACCGCCACGTCGTCCGTCCACACAGCCCTCCCCTCATCGAGAAGGGCAGGGGGGAGCCCCGGACCTCCTTGCGCTAGCTATTTAGCATTCCAGTTCATTCACTAATGTGGTTCGGGGCGGACATCTTCTCTGGCCTCGAATTCCAAGGCAGTGTTTCGCCTTCGTGGCAACCTCTGCAGTGTTATTGTGTGTGGCGACCAGGTATCTTCAAGAGTACCGGGGCTGCATGCACTTAGGGGCATCCTTCCTTAGGCGCCCTGTAAGTACTACCCTTGCGTGTTAGGGTTCTCTTCCCTAGTGCATTCGGGAACCATTTCCGTAGGGGTTTTTGCTGCTCGGCATTTACCCCGCACTTGGAGCCAGCTGGGGTTTGTGGCCCTTGTTTGGCCTTGGGTAGGGAGTGGTATTGTGCTAGTTAGTACCTCAAGGTGTTGTGTAGCCTGCCTACCTAGGCGGCGGCCGGTTCCTGTTTCGGCTGGGGATGTTGTACTTTTGCAGGGTTTTTATTTTGTTTTTTGTTTTTATTGCCTGGTAGGGGGTCTGCCTGGTGTGCCTATAGTTCTACTTCTAATATTTTGGTGGCCCTCTGCTAGACCCCTGTGATTGTACTGTACAATCACAGGGGTTTCAGTGTTTTGATCTCCCCCTTGTTAGCTTTGGGTCTTAACCAGTTAGTAATACCTTGCCTGGGCTTCCCGTAGCAGTCGGCCTTCAGGCCCTGGAAAATACCCTTGAAAAGAAACTGGCATTTCATTATATTGAAAGCAGGTTTTTTCATGGATTACTTTTTATACAGTGGGGCATCCACTTCCGATGGTACTGTAATCCATTCCCAGAGACGTATCATAAGTCGAAATGAATTTTCCCATAAGAAATAATGGGAATTGAATTAGTCCGCTCCACACTCCCCCAAAAATTAACCTCAAAGTAAGTTTTGTACCTAATTCACCCAAATATTTAGTACTAAAGTATGTACAAGTTATTGCTTTCCTTTATTGATGACTTGTTGGCGTATGGAAGACTGAGGAGAAGTGTTAGTGTTTGGAAGGAGAGACCCCTTCTTTTTTTTTTATTTTTTTTTTTATTTTTATAGAAAATGTAGCAGCCTACCTGACATTCACTGAATGAACCTTTTAAACACTTTTTCTGTTTTCAATTTTTTTCAATATTTGTCTGTAGTGATGCATCACAGTGTCATTCAAAAGGTTAAGGCAACGGCCTACTGCAGCTTGATTTGGGTGAGTCGTTTCAGCAGAAGTTTGCAGTTCTTCCCATGCTGCACACATTTTCATAATGAGGAAGAGACATCCTCTACATCAACATCCCTCATACCATTTTCATGTTTACGAATAATCTCTTGTTTTTCCTCTGTGGTCATTCTCACATGTGTTTTCTTAGGATGAACCTTACCACTAACTTTCTTGGTACCCATGGCATGATATATAATAATTACTTTTATGTTCAAAAAACAAAGAATCACCATAATAATGGAATTTCTTACAAGTGTGATCGTCACAAAGTGGTCGACTCTGGTAAACTGAGGCAGGTCTGCCCGTGTGACCAGGAATCATGTGCTTGGTCGATCCGAAAGCGTATCAACGAATATCGTTAGTCGACGACACTATCGTAACTCAAGTCGCATTTTCTGATCAAATTTATATCGTAACTTAAAATTATCGTAAGTCGAGGTGTCACTGTATAAGTTTTATCTGTTCAAGGTTGGAAGGAAGAGGGAAGGAGGTGGGAATGAAGATGGGGAAAAGGGAGGACATGGGAGAAAGAGTGGTGGGAGAGACAGACTATCCTGGCCATTGCCAAGTGCCCCACCCAGTAGCATGTGTGGAAGAATTAAAACAGTGAAGAGTCAAACCAGTAGATCTTGTTTATTGCAGTTTTTTATTTTAACTTCAGGTACTTCCGAGTAGTTCCAGCGTCTGTATTCCTTCAAAAGTTTGCAAGTGACAGACGACACATGAGACGTGAGGATGGCACGTGGATGCATCCGCCTCCACCAACCCCAGCAATTGCAACACCCGGTGAGTTGTTTTGTTATTTAACAAAACCTAAGAGACCTCTTTTATATTTTTATTTTAAGCATTCATACCCGATTACAATGCTAGAATTAGTAATGTTTAATTGGTGGGTATAGCCTGGAGCACTCGTGTGACTGAATAAATGTAACTGGACCAAAATTTCTACACATGCAACTAAATGGCTTCTGGAACTAAAACATGCTATGAGGATAGGTTAGAGATATTAAATATACCAAAGCTAGAAAATTTAAGAAAAAGAGGTGACATGATCACTACATACAAAATAGTGACAGGAATTGAAAGAATTGACAAAGAAGAATTCTTGAAAACTGCAACTTGAAGAACCAGAAGACCTGAGCGCTCTAAGGCACTGTGAGAGTTGTGCAATTTTTTTATTTAATTAGGCTATATTTTAATAAATTTTTTTTTCATCAATCTTTGTGTTTTGAAATGAAAATGGTTGAGTTTGGAAACATTTTGACATTAACTTTACCTGAACATTTATAAAAACAACAAAAATATGTCTGACAATTGCACTTTGAAGTTTTTGCTGAAACCAAGTGCGCAGTGCAGTGGAGCAGTAAAATGGCCTGTGCTCAGAGAAGACAATTTACTATAAATATTAATTACAAAATGTAAGCCTTAAACCTAAACAAAATCAGGGGTAGGTTCATCATGTTCTATTTTATTGATTAATTGAGGTTATACACTTACACTTAAAACATAATATATTACATGATTAGGTAAATATGCTAGTAATTGTTTGCTATGCCAGCATTATTTCTATATACTTTGCAAAATGTATTATCAAAAGATCTTCCACCTTTCAGAAAGCGTTCACAATCTTGATGACTTCATTAGCATGGATTCAAAACGGGGTGTTGGTACTGTGTATAATCTACAAGATTTTGTACGCAGATTCTACAAAAACATGTAAGGTGTCCGTATTTAAATGCTATTATCCTCTTCATGAAAATACGAATGATGCTCAGTTTACAAAAACTTACGTTTTCCCCAGCTTGGAATGCCTGTCACAATGCTTAACACAATAAGCCTTAGTGAAAGATTAATTTAGTTTCTTATTGTCTGACTAGGTGAACATAGGTTTTATATTTCAATATTTTATCTTTATGTACAGCATGTTGAGAAAAGGAATGCTCGTGATATTAAATCTATAGAAGAAAATAGGTTTTAACCGCATCTTAATTTCTGAGAGCTTATAGATTTCCTTTACACACTGTGTAGTTAGGTTTAGTATTTTGATATCTTATTATGGGAAATTATTATGTATTAAAATATAAATTTATTTAAGTAATTCTTACAGTCTATAAATATAAAGAAATTTGAATTTACTGTATTGCATTATTAGAACTTTGAAGATTTTTCATTCATAACTGGCTTGACAGGATTAACTATATTCTATGGCAAACCTGTACCTTTTTTTTATTTAAATACTGTATAGCCTAAGTTGAAATAATTTTAAATGTTGTGAATTGCTTTATTATCACAACTTTATGGAAGTTGAAAAAGTTAAAGTAGAAGGGGCAGAGTATAGGAACTAGCTAATAAAAAAAAGGTTTGCTTGAACTTGAGGAGGACAACATTAGGAATTGGCCAGTAAGAAGTAAGTCCATTGCACACAGAAGTATACATATTGTAATGTAAATATTGTGTAGTGTGGTGGAATCTACAGCTCTGTGTGTGTGTGTGTAATTAGCTAAATGTAATTACCTAAATAGTTACAGGATGAGAGGTACGCTCGTGGTGTCCCATCTTCCCAGTACTAATTGCAAACAACATTTTGAAACTACTGACGGATTTGTACTCCACCACCTATTCACTTAGCTTGCTCTAACCGTTTACCATTCTGTTTGCAAAAGAAAATTTCCAATGTTTTTTCGGAACAAAAACCTTTGTTCCGAAAAACAAAGGTTTTCTTAGTTTCTTAGCTTGAATCTGTGTCCTCCTGTTCCTGATGTTGCTGGTTTAAGGAATTCCTACTTGTCAATTTGGTCAATTCCTGTTAGAATTTTGTAAATGGTGACCATATCACCTCTTTTTCTTCTATCTTCTAGTTTTGGCATGTTTAATGTCTGTGTGTGTGTGTATTTACTATTTTTATTTACTATTTGTATCTGCAGAATTGAGCTATTAGCTTTTGGACTCCACCTTTCTAACCAATTTATTTTTCCTCTTATGTCTACTACACACATTTCTCTCTTAACACACGCACACACACATCCCCAGGAAGCAGCCCGTAGCAGCTGTCTAACTCCCAGATACCTATTTACTACTAGTTGAACAGACCCGTCAGGGTGAAAGAAACTGCCTATTTGTTTCAGCCTCTGCCGGGAATTGAACCTGGGCCATTAGGACTACGTCCCCAGGCACTAACCACTCAGCCACGAGGGCCCCTTTGTAGGCCCCCTCCCCCCACCCCCCTTTTCCTTGTGTGTGTACTCACCTAGTTGTGCTTGGGGGGTTGAGCTTTGGCTCTTTGGTCCCTCCTCTCAACTGTCAATCAACTGATGTACAGATTCAGGAGCCTACTGGGCTCTATCAAATCTACATTTGAAACTATGTATGGAGTCTGCCTCTACCACATCACTGTCAAATGCATTCCATTTGTTAACTACTCTGACAATGAACAAATTCTTTCTAATGTCTCTGTGGCTCATTTGGGTATTAAATTTCCACCTGTGTCCCCTTGTCTGTGCTCCACCCGTGCTAAATAGTTTGTCTTTGTCCACCCTGGGAGGGGCCTGCCGAGGCGTTCAATCCTTAACCGTCCAAGTGGTTGGGCACCATTTCTTTTCCCCGTCCCATCCCAAATCTTTATCCTGACCCCTTCCAAGTGCTATATAGTTGTTATGGCTTGGTGCTTTCCCCTGATAATTCCCTTCCTCCAGTAGCCTTTCTTCGTAGCTCATACCTCACAGTTCTGGGACTAGTCTGGTGGCGTACCTCTGAATCGCGTGTGTGTATGTGTGTGTGTGTGTGTGTGTGTGTGTGTGTGTGTGTGTGTGTGTGTGTGTGTGTGTGTGTGTGTGTGTGTGTGTGTGTAATGTGTGTGTGTGTAGTGTGTGTGTACTCACCTATTTGTGTCTGCAGGATCGAGCATTGACTCTTGGATCTCGCCTTTCGAGCCATCGGTTGTTTACAGCAATGACTCTGGTCCTATTTCCCTATCATACCTAGTTTCAAAATTATGAATAGAAGTTACTTCCACAACCTGCTCCTTAAGTGCTTTCCATTTTTCCACTACTCTCACGCTAAAAGAAAACTTCCTAACATCTCTGTTACTATTCCGTGTGAACATTTCATCTATATCCGCTCTGTCAATTCCCCTGAATATTTTATACATTCCTATCATATCCCCCTCCTCTTCCTTCTCTTTTCTAGTGCCATAAGGCTCAGTTCCTTCAGGCGCTCTTCATACCCCGTCTCTCGTAATGCTGGGACAAGTCTCGTTGCAAACTTCTGAACCTTTTCCAGTTTCCTTATGTGCTTCTTCAGATGGGGACTCCATGATGAGGCGACATACTCTAAGACTGGCCTCATGTAGGCAGTGTAAAGCACCCTAAATGCCTCCTTACTTAGGTTTCTGAATGATGTTCTAACTTTTGCTAGTATAGAGTATGCTGCTGTCGTTATCCTATTTATATATGCCTCAGGAGATACATTAGGTGTTACATCTTCACCCAGGTCTCTTTCTTGCGTCGTCACAGGTAGGCAGTTCCCCCTTCATTGTGTACTGTTCCTTTGGTCTCCTATCTCCTAGTCCCATTTCCATAACTTTACATTGGCTCGTATTGAACTCCAGTAGCCATTTCTCTGACCATCTCTGTAACCTGTTCAAGTTCTCTTGGAGGATCCTACAATCCTCATCTGTCACAACTCTTCTCATCAACTTTGTGTCATCCACGAACATCGACATGTAGGACTCTACTCCTGTAAACATGTCGTTAACATGTATTAGAAATAGAATTGGTCCCAGCACCGATCCTTGAGGTACTCCACTCGTTACTGTTCACCAGTCCGACTTCTCGCCCCTTACTGTAACTCTCTCTCTCCTTCCTGTTAGGTAGTTTCTTATCCATGCTAGGGCCTTTCCTCCCACCCCGCCTGCCTCTTGAGTTTGAATAGCAGTCTCATGTGCGGTACTGTATCAAAGGCTTTTTGGCAGTCTAGAAATATGCAGTCTGCCCAACCTTCTCTGTCCTGTCTTATCCTCATTATTTTATCATAGAATTCCGAAAGGTTTGTTAGGCAAGATATCCCTTTCCAGAACCCATGTTGATGTTTTTTACAAACCTAACATTCTCTAGGTGTGCAACCAGTCTTAGCCTAATTATTCTTTCAAGTATTTTACAGGGGATGCTTGTCAGTAATACAGGTCTATAGTTAAGTGCCTCCTCCCTATCACTTATCTTGAAAATCGGTACAACATTTGCCCTCTTCCAGCAATTGGGCAATTCTCCCAACATAATGATTCATTAAAGATCCTTGCCAGAGGGACGCTGAGGTCCTTTGCTGTCTCTTTTAGTATCGAACGTGAAAGTTTGTCTGGTCCAACCGTTTTAGATGCATCCAGTGTTGTCAACTATTTCATTACCTCCTCTGCTGTCACTTCTATATCTGATAGTCTTTCATCTAGGGTAATCTCTTCTAACAATGGGAGCTGCTCAGGCTCGGTTGTGAACACTCCATGGAAACTGGCATTCAGTGCCTCGCAGATTTCCTTGTCACTTTCTGTACATGCCCCCTCTGTTTCCCTTAGTCTTGTCACTTGGTCGTTCACCGACATTTTTCTTCTTATATGGCTGTATAGTAATTTAGGTTACTTTTTCGCTTTGATCGCAATATCATTCTCATAATTTCTTTCCGATACTCTTCTTATGTTAATGTAATCGTTCCTAGCTCTGTTGCATCTGATCCTGGTTGTCCTCTGTCCTTTGTCTTCTGTACTTCCTCCACTCCCGCCTGCTGCTCATTTTTGCTTCCTGACACTGTCTATTAAACCATGGGTTATTATATTCCCTCATACTTTTTTCCTTTACTGTTGGTATAAATCTCTCTTTGGCCTCCTGGCATTTCTGTATGACTAGGTCCATGATATCTTGGACTGTTTTTCCTCTAGTTTCTTCCTCCCACTGCACTTCTCCCAGATAGTCCCTTATCCTCCTGTAGTCCCCTTTCCTGTAATTAACTCTCCTTTTCCAGACCTCTTGTCCCTTGGTCACAAGTTTGAATTCCATCATGTAGTCAAAGACTAGGACACAATGGTCACTGGCCCCTAGAGGTATTTCATGTTCCAAGTTCTCAATGTCTACGTTCCGGGTGAAAATCAGGTCTAATAGGCTCGGTGCTTCTCCTCCTCTTTCCCTTGTGTCTTCCTTCACATTTTGTGTTAGGAAATTCCTGTCTGTAACATCTACTAACTTTGCTCCCAACGTTTCATCCCCTCCATGGGGATTCCTTGATTCCCAATTTATCTCTTCATGATTTAGATCCCCCATGAGCAGCAGCTTCACTCTCATTCTGTGAGCTAATGTTACTGCCTTCGGCAGTTCATCTATGCATTCCTTGTTGTAGTCATCATACTCCTGCCTGGGTCTTCTACTGTTTAGTGGGGGATTGTAGATTACCAAGATCACAATCTTCTTCCCATCTGCTGTCAAAGTTCCATGTATGAAGCTTGTGCTCTTATTGGTAACCCGATATCCCAGGTCTTCAAACTTCCATTTCCGCTTTATTAGGAGTGCCACTCCCCCTCCCTGTCTCTGTGTCCTCTCTTATCACCTGGTAGCCCTCTGGAAAGATTGCATCCGAGGTCATGTCATTTATTTTAGTTTCCACTATTGCAACTATGTCAGGATCTGCCTCACTCACTCTTTCTTTTATCTCTTCTGTTTTATTAGATACCCCATCAGCATTGGTGTACCAAACCTTGAGATTCTTCATGGAAACTCTGGTACCAGAGTTCGCCCTTTCTCTGGGGTGTGTGTGTGTGTGTGTGTGTGTATATGTATGTATGTATGTATGTATGTATGTATGTATGTATGTATGTATGTATGTATGTATGTATGTATGTATGTATGTATGTATTTGCCTGTCTGTCTACTGTAATTATGGAGCATGGAGAAATCTGTGTTGCATAAATATCATGACACAGAGATGCATAGATATTATTATACAGTATATTGCAATTTACTGAGATGATGTGGTGTAGAGGAACCTGCTGAGGTTTAGAGAAATCATTCTGCTTGACATATGTTACTGTGTACATGGAAGGGAGAAGTAGATAAAGATAAACTCCTTATTATCAGAAGTTTATTATTGTCATCAGTTGGTGGCAACTTTTGACTAAATCTTGGGATAAAAGATCACAGTTTTGTTATTTTTATTTTCCTGTTTTAATTGGTGCACTGCACCAACTGATTGCATTAATCTTTGTTGAATAGCTGCAGTATGTTGTCATTCATAGGTATGATGTACCTATAGTACCATATTATAGGCACACCATACTACTGTGTATTATTCTTGACTTAAAATTTCTTAAGCCTTCGTGATGAAGATAAGTAACAAGTTCATGTTGATTTAAGGACTTTGATAAACCAAGGACATTAATAAAAATTTGATTTGAGTATTAAGAAGCCTTCCAAAAAATTAAAATATTAAAAATCTTGACCCTTTGCAGTAATGTGAACTAAAATATGAACTACAGTAAAAGCTGCAACAGAAGGCTTCCAAAAGATAAAAAACTAGTTTCTTGTGATTTATTATGGTCATTACAGATCAAAACAAAGTAATTTAATGTCTTAATTACTTTTCTGGAGGGGCCAAACGATGGCTTCCTGAAGCTAGCTAACTGAGATAGGTCTACACAAATGAGTCATATCTGATTTAGGAGTCCTGAATGGTCTTCTTGGGATCAGAGTCAGAGCCTGACCATTCAAGAGGCACAGGGAGCAAGGGATTGTCAGTCACCTTCACCAAGAAAATGTCCAGAAAATAAGCGAAGTAATACAAACAACAGTAAGATTCAGAGAGGGAAAAGAAATGAAACTGCAAATGACTACCATTAACATCGTAGTTCTGACTACAATCTTCTCCAACATGTTCTGGGCTGATATTTGGGTTCGAGTTTTTACATTCTCACAGGGCTCTGGCAGCTCCATATTTAGTTAATGCTGCTCGTTAATTTTGATTGTGTTACTTTGAGCTGTGTCTTCTGGCTTGGGTTCTCTTCTTTGTCCTAGTACCTGCTGCCTCTCTTCCTCCCTGGTAAGTCCCATTTTCCTTTTTTTTTTTTTTTTTTTTTTTTTTTTTTTTTTTTTTTTTTTTTTTTTTATAGATATATATAAGAGTTGTTACATTCTTGCACAGCTACTAGTATGCATAGCATTTTGGGCAAATCCTTAATCCTATGGTCCTTGGAATACGACCTCCACGAAGAATAGTTTTTACAACCAAGTACCCATTTTACTGTTGAGTTAACCAGAGGCTACAGTTAAGGATCCTCCCCGCCCAGTAAATCCTCCCTGGCCAGGATACGAACCCATGACAAAGCGCTCGTAGAACGCCAGGCGAGTGTCTTACCACTACACCACGGAGACTGGTAATTGTTTAGCATCAGGGAGCCATCTGTGGGGCTCCCCCAGAACCTAGCACTGAATGTAATGAAGCTTGTCTAGTTGCTCATCAATTCCAGAACTGAGTAAAGCAGTCCAGGGCTGGGCAACCTTGTGCTGGCAATCGATATTAATGAGTCTGGAGCTAGTTTGAGTTAATTTCTTGGTCCTTGTGAATCATTTGTAGAGTTGTTTTGCAGTTTCATGGCTTCGTTTTCTGTGAATGCTCCAGTTGTCTGTAAAGCTTCCCTGACTTTCTGTATGCTTTCTCTGTGGGGCAGCAAATGGTTACTCCTTCTCTGCACCTCTGTGAAGAGGGCCATGTTCTAGCTCTAGTCCCCCATTAGGACTAACAGAACTCATGTGTTTGATATGACCAATTAGTATGGAGGAATCTTGGCAAGATAGCTTCAGGTTGCCAGTGGGGCTCTACCAGTAAGAGGCATTTCATTACATTTAATGCTGGGTTATTGATGCAAGTCTCATCACCATTTGTATCATGCACAGGTGGCAGACGTGTTGATATCCCACCAGCATTTTTCATGCTGGTGGGGATATCAACAAGGGGATTCATTGTGGGGACTGTATGAAGTTTCTCTGCATTCCTCTCACCTCTTTGTCTCCATCATATTTCCTGTGTCCATTCCTATGGTTTTGTCTTTTTTGTCTTAGCTGTTTGTTGATCATTATCTTATGCCTAATACTGTCACCTCTTCTCTTTCAAGTTTCGCAAACATATTCTTGCTGGCAGGGGGTGGGGGGTTGCATCATTTGCCGTGTCCAGTTGTGGAGGGTTGTTGCTACCAGCATGCCACCTTCACTACATCAGTGGACGTGTTATTTTTTGACCCAGATTCCTTGGTTTCTTGTTTGAAGGCTCGTTTGTCCCAGGTCTCAACTTCGTGTCATTTTTGCTCTCCTCCAGAAAACAAGTGTTGAATGTAATGAAACACTTCAGGGCATTAGTGACTCCCTGTTCCATTCTCCCCCCCCCCCCCTCCCCTCAAGGTGCATTGATTCATGGTCTTTCAGCTCCAGACCGAGGGTCAGGTGATGTGGAAGTAGGGATCCTCCTGGTAATGCTACAACCTGTTGGTGGCCAGTGATAATTAGGGGGTTCAATCTAGCTACCTAGTGAACCGTTTGCTAAGTCATTTGCTGCCTCAGTTCTTTTCTCTGTGAATCTTCACAATTGTTTGTATTGCTTCACTTTTTGGATGTTTTCTCAGGGTGATCATAGCAATGCCCTGCTTCCTGTGGATCTGTGAGGGGGTGGGGGCTAGACTCTGGCTCTGATCTCCAGAGGCCATCCAGGACTTTTAAGGCTGATGTGACTTATTTGTATGGAGCTATCTCAGCAAGCTAACTTCAGGGAGCTCTAAAGGCTATTCCAAAGATAGGTATTTTATTATATTTAATGCTGATTTTCTCAATATTCTTGGTTAACTGGTATTAATTCTCAGAATGTGAAGATAAAACTTTTCATATTGGAGAAGTAGATTAAGCATTTGTCAGAAAGTGAGATTTTGATATATAATGAATTTGTATGTACAGCCACATAACTTTTCAGTAATTATCTCAAGAATTTTTTTCAGATTTCAGTGTTCCTCCACATAGTCAGGATGGACGTATTAAATCATATTGTGACGTGACTGCCTTCCGTTTTTTATTTTATATCCATTACATGGGTGACAGGCATTATAAATATTTGGTTATTATGGCATAAATATGGATATGCTGCTTGTATATAATAAAAGGAAAGCCAATGATGAATGAAATGAAAAGCCAAAACCAACTTAAAATATAATAATGTTAATGTAAATCATGGACAAAATTAAATGCTGCTGTGATAGGTTTGAATGGGTATGGAGAAGTACACACAGACAGTCATATTAATTTTATTATACAGAGATAGTCGCACAATAATGCCTGGTCTAATTTAAATTTACAGAATATAATGTTGAATTGTATGAGATACATGCGGTTATAAGAAATTAAATAAATTTAGTGATAGTAAGTGAAAGTTGAGGTCAGGATTTGATATTAAACCAGATAATGCAACATGATTTATATGAAAATTAGTTATACAGGATTTCCACTGTTGTAAATGTATGTGATGTGAGTATCAGCAAAACCTCTTCATGATCTTCATACACACAACTACTGAATTTCCTTTAACAAATTATGGTTTACTTATCTCTATGCACAAAAATTTTACCCATCACAATGACAATATTTGTTATATTCAAGAAAGTTTAAGTATGTTTTAGGCTATAATTACCTACCTACCTAACAATATAAAGAATGGTATCAGTTTGATTGGAAAGTAATTAAGCTGGTAAGAATACAGAGGAAAAAACATTTGAGAATTGTGATAAAACATGCTGTTGCATTGATAGGAAAAATTACATTGTGGAAAGTGAATGAATGGCTCTGAATTATTGGTGAAGAGAAAGTTTGTCATATGTTTTACCATACTGAACTGCAAGTTGCTAGAATCATTTAAAATTTTTATTATATATTCACATTGGCTACAATTTCTAGTGTTCATAGTAAAAAAACTGTACCTGTATTATCATCTATAACTGGTGGTAATCTATTGGATGGAATGGCATAAGCTTATGCAAATACATCGTTTTCAGTTTCAAAAGATTTGTTACAATTCACAGCCAAATTCTTTATAGAATTTATGTACAGAACCCTAAATAACATGACTTAGGTAGGAGGGTGTTGTTATCACTGCTGGCTTCTGCTGTTGCCTCCAGGTAACGTAAGTACTGTGCAGTACAAAACATAGAAACACAAATATTTGTAGTGAATTCAAAACTAATATTAAATCATCCGTATAGGTTACCAACTGGAAAATATGTAAATTAGTGTTTTGAAAATGAGCTTATAGAGAAAGATATAGCAAAAACATTGTGTTCAAAGAGACGTCACTGATGTCATTGCATTAAAGTAATTTGTCTTAGCTATTGTTTACTTTTAATAAGAGTTATTAGAAATATTCACAGGATACTAGGTATGGTGATAATTGTTCAAGTAGTGTAGGGGTTCTGCTGTAATTCATCATCACTTTGGAATAGTTTATATTTTTGAATTGCGATATGGTGAATTTGTTGAATGTTATTTAAGCATTTTTAGTCTCCCTCCCACCAAAAAACACCATATTAATGGTGTGAACTCTTGCAGAGAGATTTATTTTTATTACTGTTAGCAGAGTTATTGCAAATTTATAGGTAAACACATTTTTTGTATTTGTTCTTAAATTTTTTGATAGTATTGGAATTGTCTAAAATATGTTCTCATTTAATGGCAATTTACCAGAAAGTTTGTATTACCAAAATATGCACCACGCATTACTCAGATATTGAGGAAAATGGTATTAGTGCAAAATACAATCGGCAAGAATTTTGAACACATAGTTACCTTGACACAACATTAGCAAGTTTAAGTTTTATTTATTGTAAAGTTAAATATATATTTTTTATCTGTTGCCGTGATTCTGCTTGAAATATTCAACAGAGTACTATACTTGCATTTAGTTAATTTTCAATTTAAAATATATATATTTACTCTACCTTAATTGTAAATAATAACTGAAAAGGGAAACAGTTTGCCTTTGTAGATGACAGTGATTTCTTGGGTGTTTACTTCAGTGGAAAACCCAGAAAAACCACCCCAAATAAAAATAAAATATTACAATAAGACATTATAACCAGATTTTGAGAGGTTTCTTCATCACTCCATTGGATACTTTTCCTCACCTGTAAATTGATTTGATTTTGTATTGACTTGCTTTATTTAGTGTGACTTTATTGTGCAGAAAAGACAAATGAAGTGTATTGGATATGATTGTTAGTAACTTTGTGAATAGGGTATTAGTAGTATATTTCTCTTTCATTTTTTTTTTATTATTGCTTATATAAATTTAGCAAGATAGCTTACATAATGTAACTTTATTCACTACTAAAACAAAAATGTCATCTTATGAATAAGCTTCAAATGTGCTGAGCTCCAAATTGTGTTTGGAGTGAGATCATAATTTCAAAATAATAATATATAAAGATTTCTTATTTGAGTACTTAAAATAATAGTCGGTACAGTGCATTATTACCTAGGGAAACTATTTTGGCACATGCATGTACTAGAGCTTGGCAAGCTTTCATGCAGCCCTCTGAAGGGTATTGAGACTACTTTGAGATATATTTTCAAACCATACCACTTAAATTGTTGTTGTTAATGTGCAATATTGTATAGGTAAGCTCCTCTGCTCTGATGGTTTCTTATTATTATACTAGAATATTTTATATTTTCTCTTTTCTAATTGTATAATATATATTTAAGAAAAATTAAATGGCTTGCATTATAGCCTTCACCATCCCAGCAGTGTAATATTGTACACAATGGTATAATGTGTTATAAGTGTGACTTTAATACTCTCGGATACAACTCTTGCTACCCGATTAATGTGGAATTAACATTGATATCTTGATTTTAATTCTCACCCACATATGTACTTTGTTCTGCATTATGTTAAGGAACAATAGGATTTGAATGTGCATTTGATGATTTTAGAATGATAAATTTGATGGTACAGTAATAATATACAATATCAAAATTGGATATGAGTTGTCATGAAAATTTTATTAATATATATATCCTTTTATGATTTTGGATTCAACTGCAAATTTCAAATTAATTTTTGTAAGAATAAGTCAAGCATGAACCTTAAGTGTGGTAAGAAAATATTCTCATGTCTCCTAAATCCATCCATTTTTGTCGGTATGCATTCATTAAGATTCATGTAAATTTTAACTATAATAGAAAGTATGTTATTTAGCGTTTGCAGTCATGAGTAGGCTGATAAATAATATTTAATGTAAGTAATGATTAATTATAATACTGTTATTTCCATATTATCTATAATTTGCATTCTTTTGATAAAATAAATAAAAAATAAAAAAATTTGGTGTTAACATGTTGGTGGCTTAAAGATCATCATTTGTGATTTATCAGTCACCATTTTATGGTAATGGAATAACATTGACCTATAAATTCAGTAATGCATGAAGGTCCATCAGTTTTTATAAAATATTTGCGTATTCTGTAAGTAGCTTGACATTCTATAAAACAAATAACGTACAGTACTGTACTGTACTTTTGCTACATGAGCCCAACCAGGTAGACTGGACAGTAGAACGACAGTCTCGCTTCATGCAGGTTGGCTGTTCAATCTCTGACCGTCCAAGTGGTTGGGCACCATTCCTTTCCTCTGTCCAATCCTAAATCCTTAGCCTCATAACCCTTCTAATTGCTATATAGTCGTAATGGCTAAGCACGTTCTCCTAATAATTACCTTACTGTTTCCTACATGAAATTATGTAGATCTTTATAGTCTGAAGATTGAATTCATTTATATCTTTTTAAAGATGCCTGGATGGTTTGGGGACCACAAAATTACTGCAAATTGTATCTGAATATTCCACACAGAAAATCTTCCATTAGTCATCGGTTGTAGTGTAGTTTGTTTAGAGATGTAAAATAGATTTGATAATTTTTTTACCTACTGATGGTAGTCTGCTAAACCCCAGGCTTTAAATTTTTCAGGTAATTTTACTATTCTTATTGTAAATATAGAGTAGTTCTCTTAATAAGTGTGTTTCATGGAGTAATTTTCCATGGATCTGCAATGCAATCATTGGAAAATCTGTTTCTTGATATGTATGTCTATGAAGGACTATACAATATATACAGTATATTCTGTATATATGTATAGTATGTGTATGTATGTGTTTGTGTGTATTTATGTGTGTATGTATTTATGTATGTGTTTATAAATTCATGCATACATACATGTAGTTCACTTATATCTGCTATACGAATGCATTCTTCATTTACAGAGGACTGAGTTCCTGGAATTCATTCCATTATGAGGACCAGGACTGGGACACATGGTCCTTTTTTCATGCAAGACTGAAATGGGTACCTATAGGCCATTTTAAAATAAATCTGGATGGTTGGCATTCCTCGGTTCTTTTTGTTCTTAATTTTGAACATGGTGTGGTGTGTTACTTACAAATACAAAATGGTTTGTATTTTCAGTTTGGTATAGGAATAAATTATGCAAAAAATACAGTAGTTATTTTGAATCTGTGTCAGTTGCGTACAATCTCTGCAGAAAAATGTCATCTAACATTTTGTGACTTGTTCTGCTTGGTGTTAAAGGGCTTGTTCATGAAGTTCAATATGCCAGCCCTCTCCAATGCTGTCGTGGAGAGTCTTTTTCTCCTTGGGGAAAGATGTTCTTGAGCCAAAGAAATCAGGGCTCAGTAGCAGCCATATTGAAATGCTCGTCATCTTGAAAAGAAACTGAAGCATTCAACTAATAATTATTTTTCCTAATTTCATTATATTTACTTTTGTATTATTGTATTTGGAATTCACTGAAATTATTTAATTTTAAATAAATATTAATGATTTTTTATACAGTATCTTCAATTGCATACAGTATTTCATTTCTATTAATTATTGCACTTATATTTAATACAAGGGCCAAGGACCAAGTTGGTCATAGTTCCTTTTTTCTGAAAGGACGATGACTGGGACCATCGGTTCTTTTTAAGGAATGCGTTCCCACCTTTGCTTGTTTATAGCAATGCGCTTATGAGAAATCTGGCTCTACAAATGCTCTTTCAGAATGCATCCCATTAGTATGTTTAATATTCCTGTATGTATATGTGCATGTATTTACTGTTAGTGTAATTTCCAAAGTGTAGTTACAGGATGAGAGCTATGCTCTTGGTGTCCTGTCTTCCCCGTAATCTTTGTTATATGATGTTTTGAAACTGCTGATAGTTTTGGCCTCCACCACCCTCTCTTAAATTGTTCTGACCGTCCACAACTCTGTTCACAAAATAGAATTTTTTTTATATTTTTGGCCACCTTTGTTCCTTAGCTTGAATTTATTGCCTCTTGTTCTTGAAGTTGCAGGTTTAAAGAATTCCTTCTTGTCAGTTGTGTTGATTTGTATCACTATTATGTATGCAGTTATCATGTCGTCTCTTTTCCTTCTATAATTCCTGTTGAATGTCCTGACTTCCAGGACGAGCGTGTCTTGCTTTCCGACCGTTCCTTGCAATCACTTTTCCCTCAATAGAATTCTTGGTGATTCGGATACTTTTAATATCGTTCGCCTTATGCGTTTCTGTTCTCGTATTGGCATCCTTGGTGATATTTAGCGCCCTCTGATTATTCTGCACATTTGATGGTGCTACATAGCCTTCTCAATTTGGTACCTTCTTTTGATAATTACTTACTTACTTTTCCTTCTATATTCTGGCTTTGGCATATATAATGCCTCCAACCTCTCTGCATAGCTCTTTGTATGTGTGTGTGTATACATACTGAGAGACTGAGAATGATTGTGTGTGTGTGTGATTAGAAATAAATAAATCTTTGGTAATATTACAGTATACAGTAGGAGTCGGGGAATGGGTAAATGACTCCAAATGGTGTAAAACTAAAATTTTGGTGGTAATGAAAGCAAAAAAAAATACAAATAAAAGTACTGTATATAAGATTTTTATACAGTTTTATATCGTCAGTTGTAAGAATTTTAGAAAATTACTAACATGTTTCTCTGTTCAAAACTATTGAACTGGGGTGGGTAATATCATTTTAACACAAATAGAATTGGGGTAATAAACAAGAAAGTTCCTCGACCTCTGGTGTACAGCATAGTATTACGTATTTTCTTGGTTGTGCACGACACTATTTTACCTGACTCTACTTTAGTTCAAAATTTTGAATATTCTTTACATTTGACTTGCAACAATTATTAAATTATATGTCGTTCAGTAATGGAAATACTGATAACCACTTTTCTGAGCTTCCCCCTCAGTAGCTTCCCTGAATTGGCTTTTATTTCTTTACTGGCAAGATAAATCTGTGCCAGGTACTTGAGAGAGACTCATTGCTTACCATGGACAAAGACTCGTTGCAATTTGCTAGGCCCTTATGGTGATCAGCATGAATAAAAACATAACAGGACACCTCAGAAAAAGATACAACAGTCATGAAGAGAAAAATAATTATGCTTAAAAAAATTTGACATTGGTTAAATTACATTGTACAGTATAATTTTAATAAGGTCGCTAATCATGCACAGTATTTCTAGTAAAGTTAACCCTACCACTCAAAAACTGGACCACAGTGCAAAAAAAAAAAAAAAAAAAAAAAAAGCTTAGAGGACCAAGCACAAGAGGCCACAAATTAGCAAATAAACACTGAACTCCACATAGAGACATGGGAGGGTATGAACAGCCACAAAGAAGGCAAACACCCATGAAGCATAGCACCATAACCTGATTACTGAATTATGTATCTATTAAATATTATTACCAGTCTCTACTAACAGTACTAGGGAATAGGGCAATGAAACACTAGGTGGACAGTGGTAACAAGAGACATGCTTATAAAGCATTTAAGAGTATAAAAGCCATGCACAGACTAGTCTAATGGACTTTCTGAAAACAGCTTTGAAAGTTTCTTGTTCTACATGAATCCTAACATCACTAACCAACCAATTGTTCAGTAGAGAGTGAGGAGGGCTCATCACTGGACCAGAAGAGGACCAACCCATAACCTATTTGGGATGGGGAAAGTCACTGTGTGCATTTGTATAGTATTAATCATGGTTTTGTTTTTATAGTTTGCCACTTTTCAAAAATATTTCTTAGAAGGAGTTAGTGTCTTGAGGTATCTGTATTGCATTTAGTGCAGTTTATCTCGTAATTGAGTGTAGTCTTATCATGTTGACCAAACCACACACTAGAAAGTGAAGGAACGATGACGTTTTGGTCCATCCTGGCTGGACCATCTTATCTTGAGATGATTTTGGGGCTTAGCGTCCCCGTGGCCCGGTCCTCAACCAGGCCTCCTTTTTATTACCTCTCCCCCAGAAGCAGCCTGTAGCAGCTGTCTAACTCCCAGGTACATATTTACTGCTAGGTAACAAGGGCATCAAGGTGAAGGAAACATTTTGCCCATTTGTCTCAGTCTCCACCGTGGATCGAACATGGAACCTCAGGACTATGAATCTGAAGCGCTGTCCACCCAGCTGTCAGGCGCCCTTCTCAAGTCGATTGTGTCATTCTCACAATCGACTTGAGAATGGTCCAGGACAGACCGAAACATCGTCGTCCCTTCACTTTTTAATGTGTGGTTTGGTCAACATATTTCAGCCACGTTATTGTGACTCCTCGTCTGCATAGTCTTATCTTATGCATCTTGCCTCATAGAGATGGCAAGAGAAAACTGCAAAGGCTCTTGTCCCTGGTAGGCAATGAGTCTCGCTGGTACCTGGCATTTTCTAGTTTGAGCCGTAAACACTGGTTCATAATCTCTTGGGAGCTACTAAAGTGGATCCTAGAAAGGGGCATTTTGGTACATTCAAAAATTGTAAGAGACTAATATTAAATTTTATACGCCTTTTAGTCTTTACAGTGCATATAATGTGCATTATATTTTTAGCACAGTTATGTGTTCTGCTTTAGAGATTGCACTTAATAGTATGCTTTCTCCATCTCAGCATGGTGCAGTAATAACCCAATTTTCTTACATTTCTACTATCAGTTAGTGAAATGTAACTTTCCTTCTGAATTGCACCATCAAATATTATAACTTCTCTAACATTATAATTCACCTGTGATCAAAGTGCACTTTACATCAAACTTGCAAGGACCTGAATCCTTGCCATGAGCTACATATTGCTGTGGGAGTATGTGACCAGATGTGCAAGGTGGTGGACGTAAAGGAGAAACACAACCTGTGCGCTAATGGAACTTTACTGAACTGTTATTCTTAGTCTCTCTCTGAGCTTAGCTATAATGCCAAAATAAATAAATAAAATATATATATATTCAGTATATATATACACAGACACATGTACACATACATCCATACATATACACACATACACATATATAACACATTTCATTGCTTTTTAAATGCATGTACTATACTCCACTGTCAAAATGACTGATAACTTGAAATAACAAGGTATGTAATCAGGAAACGTGGTGGTAGAAATAAATTTTGTAGTTTCTGCAAGGCAAAGGTCATTGTTTTTTCTTTATATGCTATGTTAGGGAAACACTACAGTATTGCAGACCAGGTTTGCATGAGGGGAAATTTAGTCTCATATGGAGATTTCTCCACATGGAAAGAAAATGTAAAATGTTATATAAAAATAAATTTACATTCAAGGTTGTATACACAATTGAACAATCTTATATTTACATCAGATAATAAGACACAGTTTTACATATGCTTCTGATAATATTGAAAAATTGCAATATATATATCTTAGTGTTTTGTAGGTTCATTGGAGAGTATCGGTCTTTAATCTTGCATTGAGCTTCAGTGACTACGCATTAACTTAAAAATTTACAATTTTAAATTTTTCTAGCGTTAGATTTCCAGTTTTGATAAAATATTCATAAGTTTCCTGATCATGAAGCACTATTATTAATGACATGAATTTATTTTGAGTAAGTCATGAAATTGAGTGTTGGTAAGCAGTCAGGCTAATTACAAGAAATAAGCAGTATTATGCATTATTGTTGACCAAAAATTTGAATTGCTTATTTTATTTGTTATACCACTGCAGTCATCAGGATTGTATAGTTTTTTATATTATTTAAGAGAATCGTAAGATACTGTACTGTATATCGAATTAGATGTGTATATTTTTCATGTTTACCTGTAGTGTCACCAGATTTGTCACTTTTTATTTTGTCTCTGAATAATGAAAGGAAATTAGTATTCCTAATCAGTTACATACAGTATATCCAAATTGCTATACTCTAATACTTCTTTCACATTTTTCATATTTATTATGTATTTTTATGAAATGAGTACAGGTACAGTATTCTTAGTTTTCCCAAAGAAAGATGTATAACATTATAAGTAGGGGCTGAAAAGTAGAGGGCTATACGTGTACTTACTGTGGATTTAGTTGAATTAAAACATACTGTATTTTAAAATTCACTGTGTCCCCTTTTTTATATGTACACATTTTCCTAGTCAATCATATTAGTGTATTTAATAAGCTGGAACCATATACTTCATGAAAAGTATTTCCATAAGTTATTGCTTAATTAAGAGGTTGTAGAGTTTTTATTAGAGGGAAAGTTTATAAGGAATATACTGAAATTTGTTTTGAATTACCCAAATATAAATTTTACAGTGAGTGTTTTTTTTTTTTTTTTTTTTTTTTTTTTACTAGTGTTAGATAGCTGTCTTGACCAGTGACTGGGTCCTACAACTGCCTTATATCTTACCACAGAGATGTTAGTGACTTTTCTAAATGTATCATTATGTACAGAGGCTAACAAGTCGTTTGAGCTATAGCAAAATACTAGTAATCAAAGCAATGAATCAAGTCTGGAGAAAAGATAAATTTCATAATATCACTCAAATTCATCAATTTGAACCATTGCCTCATGTCTTGAAAAACCATATCTGTAATGGATGATGATTGCATTTACTAGAATGCCTTCTAATTACAGCTAGTAAGACTGTAATTTGCATATTATGAACTTTCTTTGTTGATATATGTAACTTTCAGGTGTGAAGATTGGAAGACTAAATACCCTGTCAAAAGTTTTAAATGCTATTTAGTTTCCAACTGCCTTATATTTCAGTTCATCATCATCATCATACATACATGGTGACTAGGGTGTACTGTATTAACTTTTTATATTAAGGAAAGCCAATTCAAATTCAACTTTCCAATGTAACATTTTGCTGTTTGTTATGTCAAGTGTTGTGAGCAATTATCAGACTTCAGATATTAAATAAATATTGAATTATATTTATAGGCTA